CAAGTTTGACACAAAATCATATTATTTGTTGGATTTAAACAACACTTTTTTCAAAAATGTTCTTTGTCCCTTGAAAAAAAAATGAATAAGATTTACTCATAAACACATACTAAGTATTAGTAATGTTAACGCACAAATCAATTTATCCAAATAAAAAAATTTATCTAGATAAACTTTTGTTTTTTTTTTTCAAGAATTAATTTATATAAATAAAATATTGTGAAACACGCATGTTCAAAGTTAGCTATAGAAATGGCGCTCTCTTAAGTTTTTCGTCGGCGAACAGTCATAACGTTACAAGTCAATCTATTTTCGGGAATGTATTTTGATTCGCAGAAAAATATTCATATTCTATCTCCGATGTATAGTCCAAGGTGTGTATGTGTCGTTTATAGGTATAAGATACAATGTGTGTCCGTGCGTCGGAAACAATGAGGACTAGCAAATAGGTGGAAATATTATGTTGCACAAATGTACCCCTTTTCCAGACACCGCACCGTCGTTTTGTTTTGATGAATTAGAAATATATTATTTCTAACATTATCGGTATATTTCCTTATCTTAAAATTCTAACGCTAAGTGAATATATAATATGTATGCACGTGGATGCCAGTACAGAGAACACCGTTTGTTTATGCTTTACATTAAAATGTAATAATTGCGATATTTTTTTTTCAAAAATATCAGTATTTGTGTCGCTATTTCCAATTAACAATTGCAAGAAATACTATGGGAGACACACACAATCATCCTGAACACAGAAAGTTCTTAATGCAATAAACGTCAAAATGTTTTTTTCTGGATTTTTTCTTCTTTTTTTTTTCTTTTATGCTCGCCATCTTCTCTCTGAAAATGCACAGACGATCTGCCCTGGCTTCACACTCGGTAGTTAAAATTGCATCTATAGATTAGGTCTGTCTGTCAATAATAAACATGAGAGAATATTAGGCCGTGGCCTCCTCCGCGTCGCCGTTATTCTCGGTTTCGGAGCACTTCTCCTCGAGTCTTGACTTCTTTTCGGGACTCGCACCATCCTGTGCATCCTCTGCTGCATCGGCTCCGGCCGTTGATTTCCTCTTTACACAGCAACTGTCGGCTGGAGCATCTAAAATCGCAAGCAGAAAAATTATATATTATATATACTAAATCTTTTTTTTTTAATGCAGAATGACAAAAATCTTTCAATAATAATATATATACCTGTCGAGTCTCCGTTTTCTGTAGATTCTGCTTCTTTCTCATCAGTCTCCTTCTCCTCACTCGAGCCATTCTCTTTGGTTTCCTTTGTATCCCCATTTTCAGATGCTTTCGAATCCTCGTCAATTTCTTCCTGCACCACCTTTTCCTCTTCCACTACTTTCTTCTGAGGAGTAGTGACTTTTGTTTCCCTAAAAATCATAATGTAGATAATATTCTACCAGTTATACTAATCTAATATTAAAAATTTGTGATTCTCTCTCTGCTTCCTTTAATATTAAATTTTATTATTTTTTCTCTATTTTTCGTACCTATTTTGTTTCTATTTCTTATACCAAATTTTGTTTTATCAAGTATATTTTAGTTTTAACATTTAAAAGAATGCTATTTTTGAAATCATAGTATAATAGCAAAATTTATCTATCTATTATATATACAATAGATTATGCGTATAACTAAATTTTTTGTTTTGTAAATCAAACATTGATTATAAAAATATTCAATCCACAATTAGGATAACTTTATAGAATAATAAAATAATTATTAAAAACATTCATTTTTTATTTAAATTATGCTACTGCAATGATTATAATTTATCATCTATATAGATACAATACATACATAATAAATGATTATATAAGCAAAAATTCATAACAAATAGATTATTGATAAGTTAATTCAAAAGTGTGCAGTAAGATAAAATAAAAGTGATAGTAATATTAATGCCAAGAGCTATAATGGAACCGTGATAAAAACCACGAATTCGTGCGATTATACATTTCCCGGCAAGCCGTTACTTGCGCGCTCCGGCTTCGGTATTTGCTGCCGTTTCACATTGCTGACTAGCAACAAGGACGACGCGGCGAACCGAGAGAAATAGAGATAGGACGCCGCCAACAGTGGCGGCATCTAGTGAGTTTGATATTATATCGTCCCCGCAACATCGCCCCTCCCCCTCCTTCCTACCCAGTCACCACGGGTCACCCCTTCACGTCGCCGCCCGCAGCAACCGCCAACATCGCAATTACTACCACCATCGCGATACTCGCCACGATCAACCACACTGACGAGGCTTCAGCGTGGCGAATCGTTGGACGCTCGCGGTCGTAAACGCGGCGTGTAATACGTAACGCCGCGATACACACGCGTCCTCTCTTACACGCTTTCGACATCGTATCTCACGCGTGCAAGGGGAACGCGAAGGATATGCCGTTATACTCGTCTTGAGAGCGACGGGGGATCGGAACCGGTATAATTGAAAAACCGATCGATGGATAAATATAGACGGACGTCTCCTTCGCGCGTTTATCAGGAGTATCAGGCTTAAGTCTCGCTGGAGATTATACCGGTTTCGCTTCGCGCGGAGGATTCCCGACGGTGAAATCGCCGCTGTCGTCATCATCATCGTCGGCTACGTCTAATCGACAGATCGATACACGTCGTCGACCGCTTTCGGGCCGATGCGCGAGACGAAGTGCCGAACGATTTCTCTGAAGGAGAGCGAGGGAGAAAGTCATGTGAGAAGAGAGTCGGGACAGAAAGAATCGTCCTCGCAATGTATTCGTTCTGTCTTTCTCGAGCGAGGGTGGTTCCCGCGAAAAATGACGCGTGCGTGTTGCATGTGCATGTGTGTGTGTGTGTGTACGATGTACACGCACGCGCGCGCATGACGCACATCTACATAGACGACGTAAACAAACGAGCGAAGTAGTCGGAGCGGAGCGGAGAGGAGAGGAGCGCGAGGGACAAAAGGAACACGAGGCCGCCACCGCCGCCGCCATCGCCATCGCCATCGCCGCCGATCGGCGGCGGCGATGCGCTCGTCTTCGATCGTGCGCGGGCGGACGGTCGAACGGAGGGGTACGAGAAGTAGAAAGGAGAAACAGAGAGAGGATCCGACGCGGGACGAGACGATGCCGGCCATAAAACCCGCCTGCAAGTAGAGCACGCGTCGGGTCGGGTCGACTCGGGTCGCGTCGCGCGCGCGGTAAGGGCAGGTAATTTCCAGCGATCGTTAGGCGTACCGCGAATCGGCC